AAAGGTACTTCCATGTTTGGGTTTAGAAAATTTCTGGAAAGACATGTAAGAAACTTACTAATGATTTCTTCTGGGGAGTGAGACAAGGTAGAGAAGACTTCTAAATTTCTATTATGTACCCCCTTTTTTTAAACATCTATACACTGAGCGGGGTCGCGTGGCTCATGCCTCGTAATCCCAGCACTTTCGCGGAGCAGAGGTGGGGCGGATCCCCGTGAGGTCACGGAGTCTCAAGACCAGTCCTGGACCCACAACCCACTGGAGAACCCATCTCTACTAAGCAATACCAAAATTAGCTGGGTGTGGTATCGCTTGCCTACTAATCCCAACCACTCAGGAGGCCTGAGGCAGGAGTCACGTGACCCTGGCGGCGGGCGGTTCGCTCGGTGAGCGAGATCCTGCTTGCCTAGCAGCCTGGCGCACCCAAGAGCAACTTCTCGCTCCGGCCGCAGTGGCTCCTTCCTGTATCCCAGCAACTCTTGGGAGCCGAGGCAGGCAAATCGTGGAGGGGTCGAGGGAGGGGTCCAGGATCAATCCTGGGCGACAGCGCCGGGGCGCGGGCAGGTGGGGGGAACCGGCGCGGGGCCATCGCTGCGTACGAGAGAGACGTACAAAATTAGGCCAGGCATGGGGGCGCGTCTGTCACGCGCAGTCACCGAGGCTCGACGCAGGAGAACACTTGCACCAGGGAGTCGGAGGCTTTCAGATTGCTGCTTACTTCCGGCCTCTACACCGCGCGACCGAATGACGACTCCGTCTAAAACAAAAACAAAACAAACAAAACAACCGGCGGCAAAAAAAACCTCTGTCTCAGAAAAAAGATTAAACGTGTGACTATTCTGTATTCTTTTTTAACTAATATGTGTAAACTATAATTGCACTTCGGTCTCATGCTGTAAGAATCCTGTTCCTAAATTTCCAATCATTGACCTCTTCTTCAAAGAGAAGTTCAGGCTTAAATCCTAAATTGGCTGAAACTTTATAACCATTTCTCATTGCCATAGGCGCGGGTTCTAGACTTCCCAAGAAGAAAGGAAGATTCATGGCCCTGGGCATGGTTACCAACTGGGTGCTCCCAAGAGGCCCTTACCTAACCATTGTTTGTCCTTTCTTTCCATTTCCCCTTACAGACAAATGTCTCACCCTCCCGCATTTACAGCAGGACCGCCGCATTTTAAAGTGTTTAGCTCTGTTTTCGTCTGTGACCACTCTGAAGCAAAAATGGTAAACTTAGCATGGCTTCAATTATGAACGTCATCATATTTCCTAATGCCCCTACAATTTATGCATTTGCGAAAAAAGTGCTACTTCTTCTCGGGCGCGGTGCTCAAGCTGTTCCCAGCGCTTTGGGAGGACCGGCGTCGGGGCGGCCGGCGCTCGAGATTCCTGGGGTCGGTGCCGATCTCCTCAATACAAACTACACCTCAGCCGGGCTAGGCGAGGCGCTGGTATCCACGCTAACTCGCCCGCGCTGAGGGCAGGAACGAACCGGGGGGGGCGGCGGGCTTCCAGCCCGGCGGCGACAGCGAGCGAACTCCGTCTCAAAAAAATATTTAAATAAAATATTTTTTTAAACATGTGCTTTAAAACAAAAGTACAGACCAGTGTTTTTGTTTTCTGTTTTAAAGGGGGACCGGGCCAGCACGGTGGCTCCACGCCGTAACCCACACTTTGGGAGGGCTGGAGGGCAGGCGCGATCACAAGATCAGAGATCGAGAACCATCGGCTCTAACACAGTGAAACCCTGTCTCTACTAAACATAAAATACAAAAAATTAGCCGGTGTGGTTGGTGGAGCGCTCTTGTAGTCACCAGCTACTGGAGACAGCGCTGAGGCAGCGGAAGAGCGTAAACCGCGGAGGCGGAGCTTGTAGTGAGCCCGAGATCGCCCTCGCACAGCCGTGCAGAGCGAGACTCCGTCTCAAAACCAACCCAACCAACAAGC